CAGAGAGAAGCTACATATAATTGTCATGTAGCTGTTTGGCCCTGGTGCATTTTGCAGGTTTCTCCTTCGTTCCATTGATGATGTGTGTGTTCCTTCTTAAACTATGTTCGTACCAAAAACAACAGCTACCATTGCATAGTCACACGAGGCACCGGAACTGTTTAAAGAACTAAGCCCCAAGCGTTTGGTACCAGCACAGTCCACTCTTAGTATCTCAACATATACAACATCTGACGCAATGCTTGCAAATCATGAGATCTGGTGTAGAATCAGAGACGCGACAAGGTAGATAAAGGCAAGCCTGCGACTCAGATTTCAACTCACATTTGAACAAATCAACACTCACGTGGTTTTTTAAGCACCGCTCGGAAGGTCAATGCGTGCGCGCACACACACAGCGATGGAAACGGCGTCGCCAGGCAACAGTGACGCGTCAACGCACGGGGCTTGCTCGAGGTTTGCACAAAGCCAACCTGGAACCAACCACTTGGAATTGGCCAAGCCTTGCTATGCCAAACACCCTGCGTTTCGTTTCTTCCAAGGTCATTCAGTTTCGCACAGGCCTTCATTATGAATCCCCCTTGATGGGGCCGTAGAACGTCTTGCCAAAAATGGCCAAGAGGGTATTGGGCATGGATTGTACGTCATCCAAAATACACAGGGCATCTCTAAGGAGTACCAGAACATGACTAGCAAGCACGTGGGCCAATGCATCTCTGAAAGGGATGCTACGCAGTTGGCCCGTGAGTGGGGCATTTGCGTCACTCCATGTCGTGACGCGGAGCAGAGGAGCCGATCGGCATCTCTGAACCCGAGTGTGCCTGGCGCGGAGATATCGGTCGCTACCGCAAGGAGAGCATGAGCAAGCCCGTTACGGATAAGCCCATCTTCGGGTATTGGTATGACTGGATGTACGCGAAGTGCACCAATGCCAACTGCGCAGCCACATTCAGGGACCAAGCCTATTCAGCCTTGTGCTCCGGCTGGTCCTGCAACAGAGGAAGAGGACGCCTAGATCGAGTCCCAGTCCTCCCGATTTATGCTTTCCTGTTCATGAACAGCATCCGTACGTGCCAATATCTGGCTGATCCTGCCTATCGGCAAACTCAGACGTGATGGCTAACGCCGCAGCCTGAAGTGGTTTGCAAGACATCCATGAAACTCATGCCTGATGGTCTAATGGCGGGTTGGGATTCCTCTTCATCCAGGAGTTACAACATCGCGGCCCAGGCCATCGCCCGGAGCCCGCATCAACTGACCCTGGCTGTCCTCGATTGATGTCCTCCTTGGCAACCTCAGTTCTGTGCTGAGCCCTTGGTGACCGAATAGGATGAGGCACCTCGAAGCCGCCAGACGACCTTCCGATGTTCATCGCAAAGCTGATGAAGTCCTGACCTGCAAATCATTGCGGAGCCGCCCCTATATCGGAGCGAGCTCGCTGGGATTGCTCATCATCAGTATCCTGACGAAACAATCGGTCATCAACATCGTCCACAAACCTGCCGCGCTCGCGAGGTGTGTCCCTATCTGGAGCATCACCCACGCGACCGCCCGAACTCTCCTCAAAATCCTCGTAGACGAAGTCCGGCATGTCCTCACCTAATCGGGGGCCACCTCGGATGGTTTTCTCATCCACGACGCTACGGGAGCTTCGTGGAGTCGACGTTGAGCTTGCAGTCGTAGGTCGCAAGCACGCAGGAAAGTCCTACGGCTGATAACCAGTGATTCGGGCACGGACCTGTGCGCAGGCAATGGGTTAGTTGGGGTACACAAGCCACAAAAGAAACACCCCAAAACACTAACCAATCCCCGGTCCACACACAAGTGACCAAACAACCACAGTAAACAACCAAAAGAGAAAAGGTTACCCGCGGCCTTGGCCGACAATGAGCTGCACGGATTGACCTTACCAACCTGATAGCAGCCTGAGGTCTCTTTCTCCCACAAGATCCCGTCGGTCAACGCAAGGGTCCGGCGACGCCCATTCGAGGTCGCGACGGAACCATGAACTTGAGCCAAATGTCACAGAACAATCACTATCGCGACATGCCTAGTGACACCTGATCACATGGCTAATCACACAAAGGCAAATCCTATATCAACCCCCCAAAGCCAACCCCAAAAACACTACGGCTTCGAGTCCTTCCTAAGCCATCCCATGCAAATCTACTTCATAAAGTGCGAAGTATTAACATGTTGTATTTCATCAATCAAATGTAATTAACAGTCACCTATAATCCAATTATTCGATTGCAACCCCTAAGGATCAACAACAATCAAACACCAATCTATTAAATTATAGTTCTGAAAAAAAACTACAATTCCATAATTGTCCTATCTTTATATATGTATATTCAAATGTGTTATTGTGTTTAACTAACTATTTATAAATATATTATTATTAATTAACTAGTTTATATGAATTTAGTTTTTATAATAAACAAATATACTTATGTAATTAAATATTATATTTATTGTTTTAAATATTTAATCACTATTATGTTTTGCAAAATTAAATATACTAAATTAGTATTATTTCAATATTATTATATCAGAAAGGGACTCTGTGAGCGTTGGGTTTTTGCACACACCTAATTTTGCTGCATTCTGGCCAAAACCAAAAAAACTTGAGAAATCGAAAGAAGAAAAAAAAGGCTCTGGGACAATGTGCTGGGGTCATGCAAACAGTTCTCCACCTTACCCCCCCTCCTACAGATGTCAGGCTCCTGTCAAAAAAAAAAACATCGAGAAATCGAAAGAATTTGTCCAAAACCGAAAGAAACCTTGATAAAACAAAAGAGAACAAACAACGATTCTGGGACAATGTGCTGGTATCACGTAAACCAGTCTGTTGGCCAGATTGTTTTTTTTGTCGATTTCTCAAGGGTTCTTTCGGTTTTGGGCAAAATATTTCGATTTCTCGATGTGCTTTTTGATTTTGGATCGTTTCTTTCGAATTCCCAATGTTTTTTTTCCGATGTTGGACACCTTCTTTTGATTTCTCGATGTTTCTTACTTGTATGGTAAGCCCAGCAGGAAGCAGCCAAGATAAGACAATCTGCAGCAAAAGCTTCAACACAGGACAGCTTTGCAAGGAAGAGCTTAGAAGGTTTTCAAACACCAAACAACAAGAAAACCAAAGGTGTGGCCAGCCCGACAACACAGCTTCAGGTGACAGCAAGCCCGACAGAGTCCTTAGCTTCCAGCCAGCTTGCAACCAGCCCCAGCCCAGCTAGCTTAGAGAAGAAACAGTTCAGCGTTAAGAAGTTTTTTGGAACACCAGAGCAGCAAGCCAAGGAGACAGAGCCTGTGCTATCCAAACGGGTAGTTGCATACCAGAGGCAGCAGCAGAGCAAGCTGCAGAAAGAAGCTGCACTAGTGAAGTCAGCTTACCTCCAGAAGCTAGCAGAGCTGGAGAAAGAAGACCCAGAAGAAGTTGTAACAAGACTGCGGTTTCAGAGAGCAGCAGGCAGACAAGGTGGCAGGCCTCCAGTTCTCAGTTTTGGAAGAGCGTAGAGGAACTGCAGGTGGGCAGTTAAGCAACAGGAAGAAGGAGACAGATCCTTCCAGGAAGCAAGAGCTTTTTGCCTTTCAGAAGATGAAGCTTAGTGAAGAGATTCAGATGATTCTGGAAGAGTCTTAGCCTCAGAAGCAGAAGCTTGGGCAGTTGCAAGGAGAAAGTTCAAGATGAGCACACAGAGGCTGGAAGATTGCAGAAGAGGTTTGCCAGAGCAGCTGGTGGAGGGAGAAAGAGAGAGTTTAGCAGAGGGATCTCTCAACTTGGCGAGTGGTTGCAGAAAGAAAGGAGTTATAGCCACAACGTTTCAAAGAATGAGCTGCTGAAAGAGTTCTTTGCCCTTCTGGTTGCAAGGGCAGAGAGATGCATGGTCAGGGCAGAGCTTTGAAGAAATGAGATGCAAAGGAAAGCTTCGCTGAAAGAAGCTGACTGTGCCCAGGTGCAGCTTACCTGAGCAAAGATCAGACTACTCGCCTGGCACCAGTTGAAGAACAGGTGCGGGCCCAGCTCACCTTCCAGGATATTGACAGAAAGCTCTGGCATCTAGGTGCTGCTCCAGTTGCTGAGCTTGAAGATGCACATTTGGTTTCAGATGCAGAGATGATAGTTGAGAACCGATCCTCGCTGGTAATCGGCACGAGTGATCAAGTCCCACTTTGGGCCAAAGCTCCAAGCAAGAAGTTGGTCTTCTCTGCAGATGAGCTCAAAGGTGCCAGTTGGGACGACAGAAAGAGGTGGACTGAGATCAGGGAGGAGCTGAAAGCTGCTCTGGGACAATATATATATATATATAATAATCATAATAATACTACTACTAATAATCATAATAATCATAATAATAATAAATAAAAAATAAATAATAAATTAATAATAAATTAATAATAAATTAATAATAATAATAATAATAATAATAATAATAATAATAATAATAATAATAATAATAATAATAATAATAATAAACAAATAATAAACAAATAATAAACAATAAGTAATAACTAATAAATAATAATAAATAATAAATAATAAATAATAATAAATAATAATAAATAATAATAATAATAATAATTAATAATAATAATAATAATAATAATAATAAACAAATAATAAACAAATAATAAACAAGAAGTAATAACTAATAAATAATAATAAATAATAAACAATAAATAATAAATAAAAAAAATAGATATAAAAATAAATAATAATATAATAATAATAATAATAATAATAATAATAATAATAATAATAATAATAATAATAATAATAATAATAATAATAATAATAATAATAATAATAATAATAATAATAATAACAATAACAATAACAATAACAATAATAATAACAATAATAATAATAATAATAATAATAATAATAATAATAATAATAATAATAATGTAGTTATGTAATTCATATTATATATATATAATATCTATGTAAATAGGACGCATGGCGTCAAATCGCATTGAGTTTTCATGCATGCAGGCCTAACCAACCTTCCACATTCTGTGCTAGCAAATTTTGCATGCCCTTTCTAGGGAGCCATGCAAATCTGGCATCAACTTTGCGGTGAAACTTTGAAGGACTCGGCTTTCATCCTTCTTTTACCTTGGCTTGCCAAAAGCGATAGGGGCGTTCAAATTGCTGCACTTCCAAACTGGAAATAAGGGAATTTCAAGAAGCAATGGATCCTCCTTTCATCATTGGCTGGTGTTCAGTTGAGCTCGTTGAAATTTGCGCAGCTCTGGCTGTAAACGACTGAGCCGGGCCACACCCTCGATCTTCTTCTTCACAAAGTCGGGCAAGTCATCCCTGACATAGAGCAGGACTCATGGAGTTGTCAAAAGAAACCAAATGGGACCTGGCCGGCCACGCCCTTGGCCGGCCACGCCGTCGCTGGATTTCCGGTTCAAAGCTGGAGCAAGTTTCCAGCATCGGGTTCAAACAACAAACTGCAACTTTTGGAGGTCCAAAAAGGAAGGAACCTCCGAGACTCCAAAGGTCCAAGGGCCTGGTGAAGAAGTCCCCTGCAAAGCACAGGATGTTGTCCGGCTTGTACTCCAGCACCTGCATCCGCACCGGCGAAATTTTGCTGTAAGTGGGTGTGGCTCAAATTTTAAGAGCTAGGGTTACGCAGGTTTTAGTCTTTGGTTCCATTTACCAAGGTGCAATTTTGGTACATGTTTTTGAGCCACAGCCAAGTGGGATTGGTTCCCATGAATCCTCCATTTGCTCAAGTTCAGAAGTAGATTCAACAGGGAAAACAAAACAGCAAATTGTCCTAAGCAAATGGCAGTGAAGGCATTTCTAGGCTCTCTTTTCTGCTCCAACCAGTTGCAACCAATACATTGGGATGACGAGGGCCCAGGTTGCGCGCCATGGCGCGCACAGAAAGTGGTGCCTGGTGCACAAAGACGCTGAGCAGCTCCCGGATTTCTGGATGAGCCTGGGCGCCCGCAACTCGCAACTCGCAACGCGCCGAAATCTCATGCCATGAGAAAAAAACAAAAAACAGAGGGACGAAAACCCGGACCCCCGACGGCGCTGGGTGCAAAAAGTGAGATCAATGTGAAAGGCGAACTGTCCGATTATCTGGAGGGGTCCCTTCGACACATTCCCAGGTCACATGCAACATTCACATGACAAGCTCATGTTTCAGGCTAGAATGTCTCGGCTATTTCCTGAAAAAGAGCCCCCTTTGGAAGGTGTCTCCAAGAAAGCAGAAAACCAACCATCTATTGCGGCCCACCATGAAAACAGTTCATACATTCTCTATGTCCATTTTGGCTTTCTTCGTTTTCATATGTTTAATCTACATGTTCTATCTTCTAATAATCCTAACAGAACCCTGTACGACAACTTGAGGCCGCGCCAAAAGGTACTTCTCGTTCTCCATATTCACCTGTGGGCAGTGAGCATCCCTCCAGCGCAATCTTGGGACTGGTCAAATCAATGAGCCAGCCTTGATCTTGGTCATATCCAGCTGCTCCTGGCATTTACCAAGGAACAACTCAAGGAACGCATCAAAGCCACCGAGGATCTCATGAAGTAAGGAACTATTTGTCATATTGTCACCAACCGCGACAACGTCATCTCAGTCTCGCAATCCTGCTGATACTTTGTGAGCTGACCGACGCTGCTCTCATCTTCGTCTGAGGCGAGGCAGTGGTGAAGACCGCACAAGGACCAAGCACAACGTGGAACAACGGGAAAGCTTCTTCCACAAACGGCTTGAGGTCTTCCAGAAGGCTTCCTTCACAACTCTTGTGAGTGCTTACACATCTTGGCATGAATGTGTTGTCCTCGCCTGCCGCAACAGAACCAGAGTCTGAATCTCTCTGTTTTCAGGACAAAAGAGCTACAAGACCGAAGAACATAGCAGCAAAGCAAAGATTGATCACTGTACAGTTCACGAAGAGGTACACTGCCAAACTCCACAACCCGTCCAAGCGCCGGACCAATGTCATCCCTGGGCGTAAAACGTTTGGACGGGCTTGCAGCTCGCGAATGGATCGATCCACAGCAAGAACCGGCTGCAAAACACATCCAAAAGAAGAACATGACCTCTGACCCGCGGCTTTCGTGTCAGAAGCGTTGTCCCAAAAGCCAAACACAAATGGCCCTCGCGGAGCTTGAAGCAGCGATAGGGGCCCATGTTGGCGGAGTCAGATCAAGCCGAAGAAGTAGCAGCGGAACGATAATTAGTGCAACTGGGACTGGTGATTGCTGAAATGGGGATGATCTTTGCAATTATATCAGCTTTCTTTTCCTTGACAAGCCATCCAAGGGGGCACCCAGTTGAAATTGAAACAATCCTTGGTTACATATAATTCCAACACCAGTTGAGTCACAATCAACACCTGGTACAACAATGGTGAACCCAGAACCATGTAAAGAATTAGAAAGGCGGCCGCAACTATTTCCTGCTGGGACTGCCCCTTACTAACCTTCATCTACCCGGGTTTTGATTGTGGCTCAGTTGTTTGTTCACAAGTTTGAGACACAGCCAAAGTAGTCCTGTTTGCCGACCCTCTCAAAACCTGCTCCGTATCCCTTGCTCAATTCACGTAAACCATAGCCCTGCTCGCTTCGATCTGCGCCCCCGGCAGCTCGCTGCTGTGCGTGGACATGGCTTGGACGGGAACGGCTAGCATCAAATGAAACATGGCAGCAACATGGCTGGAAGCCCTTCGGCCGTCTTAGGACTCCTGATTTTGGGAAACATGGTGGCCTAATGCAGCGATCCCCAGCTACGCAGCTTACCCCTCAAACCGGTCCCTTTCTTCTTTCGGGCGAACGGGGTGTCGTCCGAGGTGTCGACATGGAATCCAGTGTCCTTCAGTCAAGCTTTCAAACCACGTCAAGCAAGGCGATTCAAGGCTTGTACCAACAAGCTGATCTGCCTTCGAATTCTGCTTTCTGCTGTTCCAACCAAAAGTCAAGGAGCTTTTGTAGGGCTGCCAAAGTAAAGTTGCAACCAAATGCCAATAGCCAGAGTCGGTCTGATAGCCCTGATGCCCCACCCGTTGCGCTGTGATCTGTGTCAAACCACACCCACATTCCAGTTAAGCTATGTGTCCTGGGTACCTAGTTCAGCTATGCCAATGTAGACATAATCCATACATACAAATATATAGTACATACTATGAATCATATTATAACTATACGTAGGAAGCAATATACCTGAAAACTCAATTGACTTCGAGCCCTGCGCACATGACCTGCGGTGGCAGTATTCTTTACTGGAGATACCAATGGATCAGAACCTCGGCTTGCGCCCTTTTGCGAGGCCGGCACGGGGTTCAGCGGTGCCATGCAAGTGGCATACGGGCCAAATAGGGAAAACATGAAGACTGAGAGCTTGGTCCAAGCAAATGATTTCAGGCAACCAAGCAAACCAACTTATTCCGGATCTCTGAAACTCCTGGCCCTTTGGCATTGCTTTGCCGTGCTCTGCACATCTGCACAAGTGATGGCCTCATGGTGAGATCGTTGAGCTGGGGCAGGGGCTCGCAACTTGAGCCCATATGCTTTTGTGTGTCGGCACCCTTTTTCGGTTGGCTTGAAGGGGACGCCAAAAGAACACCACCTTTTCTAGGGTCTCCATGGTCGTGCCACTTTGATACATCCGCATATTATGGCTGGGAACATATGATAACTCTGCTGGCGTGATCGCTTGAGTAACTGATTGGGTGGTGCCTTTTCAGTAGAGCTCCAATGACTTGGCTTGTGATTGAAGTGACTCCCGCCCACCCCCAGCGGGGAGCTTCGGCTGTCGCGTTCTCGCGCTCGGCCAAAATAGGGGCCTTCCTATGGCATCCCTCGTAGGGAGCGATCTGAACCTTCGGTCTCCAAATTTGCTCAAAGGAGGCTCTTCTAACAGTGGATGTTTTTGTTTAAAGGGTGCCACGTTCATCTGCAAGAGAGTAGAGCTGGCCATGACACGTTCGCCTCGATGCATCAGGTGCTCTCAGCTGCCTCCTCGCGCATGATCCACTCTGTGCCTGCGAAAAAGATCACATTGGTTTTCAGGGTTTGAAGGGGAAGTGCCCCGACAAGAAGGAAACAAGGGCACCACTGGGCTTCTGGCTTCTTGACCAAAGGGTCACCCCACTGGGAATCCCATGAACGACTGGTCGGCACATGTGCCAACGATTCATGCAGAGTCGAATCATTCTAAGTGGCAGATCCGCGTTGCTCCTCTTTGCCTTGTGCATGGTGTTGCCGCCTTTGGCTCAGCCTCATTCAACCTCAATCAACTCCTTCCAGCTCCTTTCAGCGCCTCAATTCCTGAACTCGGCCCAAACAAAGCCAAGCATCCTAATTAAAACGGTTTGAGCCGATTGGAGAACAAAGCCTACCATCTTAACCCCCCGTTTCAGCATCTCTATCTGCGAGCATCCGCGGCAAACTCTGAGCACATTGACGTTTGGTTCTGCCACCTGGGTTTTAATGCATCCTTGAGGGGCCCCAGGATATGCTGAAACATCCATTTGGGCCGCTCGAGCCCGTGGTGCGCACCAGAGGACGGCGAGGAAATCTGGAGGAGCTCTTCCGGGCTGCATCGATGGAGCATGTCCTGCGCTCATTGCTTCCCTTGTAAGCACAAAATATCTGTGTTGACTTGTGATGAGGGACCTTCGTTCCTTCTAAATGAGACATATCCTCGTCGGACTTTGGTTTTCAAAAGAGCGTCCTAACGTCTCAAAATCACACAACACCAACCTTGGTAATTACGTCCCATCTGTTGAAGTCATCCAGTTCACCGGTAGAGACAAGGAGTCAATGGCCCGCATGGCTTCCTTGAAACACGTGCCCGCCAAGTCGCAAAGGCCAGGGTCCTTGGTGGACAAAATAGTGGAGCAGCCCCAGCCAAGTTCAGCACCCAGCGGCTGACCATGAATTCAAGCAGGCAGGCTTCTGGCAGTACTAGCAGAGCTAGTGAGGCGGAACGACTCAATGCCTTAAGAACACCTCTAGAGGCTTAGTCGCTCCGTCAGTGACAAGGGTGTTGTCGCCAGCAAACCAACCCCCCTCCGGCTGGGCGAATGCGGAATAACTCGATTCTACGGTGCCCACATCACATGAGGTGCTCCGGCCCCCCATGCCAACCAAGAGACCTTCCACGTGGGTAACAAGCTGATCTTCTTTCGTTTGACCTTTTGTATCGCTGAAAAGGAGGTTCAAAGTCAACGGTTCATCTCCGCTGGCGTCTTCATAAACATGGGAAGGCACGCATGTGGGTGTGTCTGTGTGTGTGTGTGGGTGTGTGTGTGTGTGTGTGCGTGTGTGTGCTTTCTTGGGGGGTACCGTTCTCACCTTAGCTTAAAGGAAAACCAAGGGGAACAAAAACCACAGTTTTGGTGTCCCCCTTATTTTGACGCCCGCCCGCATCGCAACAAATAATTCATCATCCGCTCCATATCCGTCCTCAGAGGAATACACCACGGTCTTAATACCCAGAGCCCGGATGATCTGGGCACACTCCAGGCCTTGCCGCAGAACCGTTTCCAATTGGGCACCCCTCTTTCGGACGATAGGAACCCAAAGAAACACCGACCACAACCTGACCATGGCGTTCTCAAGGAAAAACTGTGATCTCAAAGCTTCAGGGCCACGCTCCATTCAGAAGCAACTTCGAACCTCCGGGGCCTTCGGGTTTCGCCAACACCAAAGCGCCGGTCACCCGAACTGTCCGGCGCGTTCCGCAGCTTGGCACGTTCCGCACAGTGAGCGTTCCGACATGGATCAAACATTGGCCGTTTCCGACTAGGTAAGAGGCTCCGTCATGCTTTGTTCGCCTCCCTACCAAAGGGCTCAAACCATCTCTTGGCCCAGGCATCTATGCGAGCGGTGCCGATCAGATCTGAGCTCCAGAGCAGGGCTGAGCACAAAGCATCCTGGCCAATGCTCTGCTCAGGGTTGTCTTTTGACCCCCTCTTTGGATCTGCATCAACAGACCCCAAAAATGGAAACCTGAAAACCCATGAGGTGCTAACTTTGCTCGCAAAAAAAAACGGCGCAAGGCCCGCTTTGATTGCAGCTGTCTGCTTACCTGTCCCGTAAGCCATCGATCCTCTTAGCGCCTTCCTTTTGCGCGTCTTGGTGGTGCCCTTTGAAAACCCAAGAACTCAGCTTGGGGGTTCCCCGACAGCCCCGTGTCAAGTTTTCCCGGACCCGTGTGGGTTTAAAGCACGAGTCTACCATCTTTTTGACTGAATCGGGAGAAACATGAAGACCCAGCGCCACAAGCGCCCTCGCACCACAGTCCTTCCCCAAGGGAATCAGTCTGCACAAAATAGAGGTCTGCGCATTTGCAGGTCCATATTTGGGAGGTAGTTACCCCATCCCTCGCACCTGGTTCGCTTGAGCTGCTGGTTGTACTTGGGCCGAATCACCTGGGAGTGAGAAATAGCTATCGTCTGAGGGCTGCCTTCTGAGCATCGGCACTTCACTCCAAAGAGACGTTAGGACCTCCCCCAACAAAGAGACCATCCGGGGCTGAAGTGAACCAGGGCCCGGAAAGCCCGCGAATTGATGGGGTACGGTGGGGTGCCTATATCTTGAACAACCATGAGAATCCAACGCCCTACAAGGAGAGAAAGAAAGAAAGAAAGAAAGAAAGAAAGAAAGAAAGAAAGAAAGAAAGAAAGAAAGAAAGAAAGAAAGAAAGAAAGACAGAAAAACAGAAAGACAGAAAGACAGACACACAGACACAGAGAGAGAGAGAGAGAGAAGAAAGCCAGAGTGAGAGAGCGAAAGTTGAGATTGAATGGGAGCGGGGGTTGAATTGAGCGGGAGTGGGAGTGGAATTGGGCGGGAGTGGAAGTGGAATTGAGAGGTTGGTTCCATGTGAGTCGCCGCTGTTGGGAATTTACGTTTTCGACTCGGAGCCTGAAGACCCAGCGTTCCCTTTCAGCCTGTCAGGTGCTCTTGCTGGGAGGCGAACCACCAGCGTCATCTGGCGCAGGTGCCGCAAAGTGATGCCCTTTGGGAGCCTGGCCGAGCAACTTGACTCCACCCCAGCCCCACATCCGCAACTCGCATCCGCGCATGGCAGGCATGCGCCCAAGTTCAGGCAAACACACTGACAAAGCGAAGAAAGCCGGATCCGCCGATTCAGAGCGGCAATTTCGGCGTGCTGTGTCCTCAGGGTAGCAATGATTGAATCGCCCGTGCTTCCGATGTCTATTTTGACGCTCTCAAGGGCTTGGTAAAGGTAGTGCAAGCTGGGTGTCCAAAAAGGGAATCTGGATCTGCAGGAAACACTTGGTATCCATTCAGGTCACTCAGCGCCCACCCAGCAAGAACCAAACCGTCGCACATCAAGGGACAAAGAATCCTGGGGTGAATCACCCTGCTGCAGCTTGGCTGGGGCCCTGGCATAGACTTGGGCTGACGGCCATTGAGCAAACGCGCCTCATCAGAAGGAACAATACGTAAGGAGAGCAAGCTGCTGGGATCAATTGATTTCTCGTCAACATCACCCCACCAACACAACACTCACTTTAAACCGGCCTTTAAAGCCACCAAGAGGGGACTGCAAGGGACCCCTGTGCCACCCAGCAAAAACGGCAAGCCTTACAATCTACCGGAATCGCCTTGAGGTCTCTGGCTCAGTTCTGAGGGCCCTAGGTTGAAGGATCATTGTTTCTTCAAAGCGCATTGAGTCACTTGAGCCCAAGGATCTTGCGCGGCTTCCA